TTCTGGCTTCTTTCTGTCCCTTCCTAATAAGGGTGAGGGGTCCCCAAGCTGAACTGTCCAGCGAGGCCAAGTAAGGATATCAGATACTGTGGGGCCATTCACAAATTACACAGTGTTATGTAGAGGGTCAACTGCTGCTTCCAGAGCCAAGCACAGGGCTCTCTCTGGCAGCTTTTACTAAAGCTGTTACCTGCTTAACGTGTCAGGTACTGTGAGCATCCTGGATGCAGGGGCTTGTGGAAGCAGCTGATGCTCTATCAGGTAAGAGCAAGTCTTACCTGAGAATGGTGCTGAAATGGCAACTCTGCAAATTTACATAAGATACTTCTCTTCCTTTCCCCCTATTATACCTGATCACTTGACAAATCTTCTCTTCTCTTCCTGCCATGAACTCTTGGAATAATCTCCTGAATTTCTAAAAACATATGTCTGGTGAAGTCTTTTCCTTACAGAAAATTTTAAAGACTCATCCCCTTTGCCTTCAGGAGGAAGTCAAAACTCCTCAGCACACTTGACATTTGAAGTTCTTCAGAAATTAGCCTCTTCCTACTCTTCCAGTCACTACTCACACCCTCACACTTACCTCCTTAATCACAAAGTTAGAGTCACTTCAATACATGTGCCTTCATTTGCCTACACCCAGATTGTCTATACCCCATTAGAAGAGGACCTCTCCCTTTTACAGAAACTATAGGAAACATGGGGTAGTAGGATTCTAGCCTTATCTGTCTGTCTAAATCTTATCCCACCAGTAGCCCCACTGCAACATTGATAGTAGGGTGTGTAGGGCTCTCAGATGGTGACTGGACAAGCTGGCTTCCTTAGCTTTTGCCTTAGTTACTTGCAGGAGATTTTCAACAAGCAAGACAGTAGAAGGTCAGGATACCTAAACTGGACTGCCATAAGAGAGGCAGGTATGCATGGGGGAGCTTGCTAGGCACGAGTAGGTAGATGAGGGAGAGGAAGGAGGCAGAGAGGAGGGAGTTCCTGATGTTCTGAAGCAGCTTTAATATACAGTGTTACTCCCTGAGTGCAGAGGCTCAAGGATCTGGCTCTGCAAATGACAACATATAGATTATTATGATTAAGATCATTTATTGAAGGCTGGCACATTCAGGCTCTCATTAACTTCAATAACACTCTGTTATAACCACCACTCTATGGAGGAAGAAATTGAAGCTCAGTGAAATGAAGGAATTGACCCAGAGTTTAAATCCAGGCCTACCAGGCTCCAAACAGATGCTCTTGACCACTGGTCTTGGAGGCCAGTGACCTACTTGCTAAAAGCATCTTCATATTGGTGGCCTAAGGGGACACAGGAGGGGGATGAAAACAAAAATTAAATTAAAAATTTGACAGGAGCTCCATAAAAATGATCCCTATGCTATCAGGATTCAGGCCCCTGAGGTAGAGGGACAATTTAAGTGATCTTAGATCAGTGGTGACATGAGTGCAAAACTCCAGCACCCAGAGTGGATGCCTGGGCTCAGTGCAGGAATTGTGGTTGGAGGTGACATCTGTCAGCTACTGCCCACCTCCTCACCTTCTTGGGGAGCTTCAGTCTCCAGATTGACATTCTCAGCTTTGTCCAATTGATACTGTGAGTAGAGAACATGGAGGGTGAGCTGGTGGGGAGGAGGAACTTCTCTGTACACCCCATGGTTGCCCACCTGTCCCTAATTCAAGCTCAAGGGAGGACAACTGCCAGTCCAGAAACAACAGGCTGGGGGAGCACTGGAGATCACTGGCCGTGTGCCTGTGCTGCTTAGCTGTGTCTGTCACACTAAGTCATACTCTGCCTTGCTCCAGAGGCAAAGGTTTGAGGTAGCTCAAACCTTTATTTATAATAAATGGGAATGTGTGGTTATACATTGGCCAAAATTGGTTTCCCTTGTGTTTTCAACATGGATGTGGCTAAGGTGAGGGGATATATGAGAGGGACTAGGTTATAATGTTTTCAGTAGACACATGCATAGCCAAATTAGCTGTCTTCCTTTGGGCTCTATTTTCTCATACGTTTTCCAAACTTAACACAAGGGAGCAAAGGGACATACCCCCAGAAGCTAGAGATAAGGCTTTCCTCCAGGAGTTAGTTCACATCAACTTAGGTAGAGTTGGCCATTGCAGGGTCAGGGTTTTGTGAAGAAGACAGGTTCTGGGGATTCTTAACTCAGTACTGAGTTTGAAATTTAACAGTGCATTCACCGTACTCGTTCATTCATTCACCAGATATTTACTAAGCACTCACTTTGTGCCAGGCACATATGTAGGGATAGAAGGCTGAAGGTGTTCAATAGCTCTTCTGCAATAAGACCATGTGACAAATCCATAAAACCTCAGCAGTATATGACGAGCACTTAATTTAGCTCCTAAGCCACATGGCTGGGAGTCAGAGGGTCTAGGCTGGCTTGCTCATGCATCTGTGTGTTGGCTGGGGGCTTTGTTGGGGTATACCTTAATTGAGAGAACTCAGACCTGGTTTGCCCTTCTCAGGACAAAGGGAAAAGCACAAGAAAGTGAGTTTAAACACTCCAGACCTCTGAGACCAGTGTGCTGATCTGGTACACCATGCCTTACCACTCATTCTGTTGTCCAAAGCAAGTCACTTGGCCAAGCTCATTTCAACAGATGGAGAAACAGCCTCCTCTTCTTTCATGTCATTTGGCAGGCAGCAGGGCATGGTCACAGAAACATGAGGACCTGGGATTAGCAGCGAACTCTAGCATGCAGTAACAAGAGAACTTATCTAGAGAAGGTATTCCACAATGGCCACTCTGAAGGAGGTGACATTGAAGCTGAAACATCAAAGACAAGAAGGAGCCAGGCAGGAAGAGTGGAGGGTAGGGAAGGCCTAGGCTAGGTGGAGCAGTGCGTACAGTCCTGTGCAGAATCTAGAGAATGAAAGGAAACTGGGTAAGATGAGTGTCAAACTCAGGGTCAGATCAGGCAGGACTTATAAGATGGAAATAAACCTTACTGAAGGGCTGGCCTAAGAGAGCATGGGATGACATTGTCTCTTATCTTTGTGACTTTTTCCTGAATTTCATCCAAGGCTCATTCACACTGTGGTTGCTAAACAAATATTTGTGAGTAAATGAAGTAATATGATTAGGAAAAGACAGACGCATGTATGATGCTGACTCTCTGATCATTCAAACTGCACTGAACACCTGCTATGTGCTGGATGTGTTCACTCTAAAGACATTGGAGTCTGGAGTTGAATTACCTGCTCTTTTTAAAAATTTTTATTTCTGTAACACTTGCTTTGCTTGAACTGCTTAGAAAGGACCAAGTAAAAACTAAGGTTTCTTTCTTGATCTCAAATGTTCATTTCATGAAATGGATTTTCAAGACATAGGGACCTTTAGCATATGTGTCCCCTCAGGCACTCCGATATTCCATGTGAAGGTGAGATTTAGTTAGAAAGGCAATGGCTAGAATCTTCAGAATCCACCCTGAGTTGCTCAGCTTCACACCTGCAGTGTAAGCATTGCCTCCTGATCGCAGGCAATCGTTCCATAATGGTAGACTCTGAGCTAGGAGAACCTGTGCTGTCTGGTCAAACAGCCTGAGCAGCCTCCAGCAAAGCCATGTACTGTCACAGGAGGAAAACTGAAATGGAGATGCAGGTTGAAGCCACAGAATTACTTGTAAGGAGCTGTGGGATCTTAGGCAAATCTCATTAAAACTTGGAGCTTCCACTATCCCATGTTGGAAATGAGTGGGCTTGGCTAGGCACTCTCTAAGATCCCCTCCAGTTCTGATCATCTCTGGCTCTGTGGGGAAGAAACCATTACTTTTGCACCACCCAAGGTCTGCAGGGAATGATATCTACTTTGTTGGAATTTCACTTGGGAGCTTTCTCTGACACCACTGAAATTTCATCAAAACAATCAGCATCTATTTGGATGTATTGGTCTAGTTTCCCCAGAAGTCTCCTGATTGTGAGTTAGAGGTACTGTTCATCACACCCACATAGTGCTGTCAGATGTACCTTGATGGATTTCTGCTACCCGGTCAGTTTGCACACCTGCACAGAGCTGGCATGAGCGTGCTAAACTGAGTTCATGGGGGAAAACTCATTGAGAATCAAATAAAGAATCAGCCAGTATCTTGGTTGTCATCATTCACAGGCACTGTGAGAAGTTGAGGTTGATTATATTTCAGGTTGATTTATACTTACTACCAGGTGGTGTGGCTCCTCTGGCTAAACCATGCATTAATGTCCTATCTCCATGGCTCCCTAGGTGTGAGAGGAGGAGGGCTCAAGTCAGCTGAGTCTAATTAATCATCAATTGCTTTCCCCTCATGTCCAGCGGTTGATGTTGCCCTGTCCTCCTGAGAAGGCTGGAGCCCTGTCTGCCTTCACTAAGAACTCTGCATAGAGTCCAAGGGTAGCCTTTGGCTGGGAACAGTCCTTACCTCCCTGACAGTTCTTTGGGATCATGCACCAGCTATCACCTTCTCAGCTCAGGAGGCTCTTTACAGTGGCTCTCCCCTTTGGATGATGGCAAAGATTAGATTTGTTAAGTTGGCTGTTCTTGTCACAAGCAGAGATATTGCCTGACATGGCCTAAGCAATTTGACTCCAGAGCTGGTGTGTTTAGTCCAACTTAAATGACCTTCCATTTGGCAGGTGTCCTCACATTTGGAATAGTGATCTAGGTTTCAAGATATGAAGAGAGAAT